TATGAATATTTCAATAATCACCTAAAAAGGCTCTAATTTGATGGGAACTATGCAAAAAGGTAAAATTTTGAAATTTCTTTTCCAGAAATATTCATCAAAATATTTTATCATCTGAACGCATGACACACGACATTCGCGTTTTATCAAAAAAGTTTCTAATTAAGTTTTCAAAATGCTCTAATTTGATGAGAAACTTGCTTTAATTTTGTATTATCTTTTTTATCATTTGACCATGTGAATTTTCTTAAAGAAATATTTAAAATGCTGAAATTTTAATGACATTTAAAAGTGATAAAAAACTGATCAATTTAATTTTTAGTCTTTCCTTCACATTTATGTTAATAGTCACTTCTTCTTTTTCCTAAACGTCTTTATGTGGATCTGATTAATCACCTTGCTGAGCAGGACACGCTACTATGAGGCCTATATTAGGTATGTGCATGATACATGCAGAGTGTCACTTTCTAATTCTCAATTCTGTAATGTCACATATCAACACTTTAGTTTTTTTTTCAGGGTCACTAAATCTACCCCATCCATTGGTGTCACACACTTTTTATGACACTTTTTATGTTTTGACATTTCTGTGTCAGGTCAGAAAATGGTGTTGGACTTTACCCTACCATTCGCCGGGAGGACAGTGATGACGAAAGATGCTCAGGAGAGTACGACAGCGGAGACGAGATTCATAAAGATGACATCATGCTGACAAGAGATAGGTAGGTCAATGTCGGGCAAGACTTGAATTAGCATCTCCAACTAAAAAAAAAAAAGAAAAAAAGTGTATATCATTTTAAACAGACTCACCAATAGAGCACAACATGATGCAGAAGGAGACTTTGATCTTGAGGTTTTCAGAGGAAACCACCAGTCTGGAAGTTACTTTGAAGAGGATCATCAGCTGACTCACCAAAACAGTAGGCAGTCACCGAAGAGCTGGCTTCTACCCTCACCTCAACGTACGATTCTGGGTTCTTGAGTTAATGGAAGCAATTATTAGGAAGAAAAAGTGTGTTTTTTCATTTATAATCTTGTTTTTTCCTCTCAGCCTCCAACAGACCAACATTCAATTTTGAGTATCTTCGCAGTCGCAGTCAGGATGATGCTCATTACCCTCCAGCCTGCACC